GGCAATAAGATATTTGTAATCTGTGGCAAATCCCATTTGGATAGTGTTTTCTATCATGTTTTCTCTGTCACTCTCTACACTATAAGGCATAATAATCATAATAAAGTTAGATAAGAAGATTAATACCACATTGATGTCTATGATAAATTTGAAGGCACAGCCAGCGCCCAGTTACCTGTAGCTAAGCTTTGAGTGGATACAGTGGGTAAACAGCTAGCCTGGCTCTGTCCAGGAGTAACATCATCTACCTGCCAGTACCTCCAAAGCTCATTAAATAACATGTCATGTTTGTTTGATCCAAACAAAAAGTGAAATGCAAAAACAAGCTGTGGTTTAGCTGAGAGTTCCAGTACATGCTGGAACTGTTTCTTGGCTGTGTGCAGACTTTCTGGAGTCTTGTTGTCACTGTAAATTTATCACATTTAAGATACGAACAAATGAAACAAAACAAGCTTATGAGGTACTATTTTTTTACCTACTGTATGAACAATTCCAGAGGTGGAAAATATACTTAGACTTCAATATATTTTAGAGGCAAATATTGTACTTTTTTTCCCACTACATTTATTTGATAACTTTAATTCCTAGTTACTTTTCAGAATCAGATTAATAAAACAAAGTAGAGTATAATCATAAGATTTTATTGACCCTCAGTGGAAATTTACAAGTTACCCAGCAGTAATTCAAATTATAAAGTAGTTAAAATTAGCTCCACTGCAGCTGCAACATTAAATATGGTGAATACATTAATGCATCAATAATAATAATCCAATAATATGTTATACATTAATGTGAAATGTAACATTGTGCATAATGACTACTTTTTCTTTGGGAAATTTAAGTATGTTTGTGTATTTTTTACTTAAGTAACATTTTGAATAAAGGACTTGTACTTGTAACAGAGTATGTTTACACTATGGTATTGCTTCTTTTACTTAAGTAAACAATTTGATTACTTCTTCCACCAGTGAACAAATCCAGACTAGCTGTTTTCCCCCATCTCTAGGCTTTATGCTAAGCTAGCTGCCTACTGGCTGTATCTTCGTATTAACAGATTGGTATTGATCTCATCATCTAACTCTTGACAAGAAAGTTGAATATGTGTATTATAGTGCATGAATAAGTTTGTTCTTTCTCTGAGATGATTCATGAAGTAAAACACACACAAACAGAATCAGTTACATGTGTTTGTCTCATCCAGTGGCACATGACTTGTTCATTTTGAAGGCTAATGAGCTAAAACATTTCATTCCCTTTGTTAGATTGACTACAATGGTTATTTCCATGGCAAACAACTTTGCATTGATTACACAGCACATTACACAGAACCCACATATAGTGCATGCGACTACTATTAATTTAGATAATAACCAAAGAACACAACTCTTAATGGTAAAGCTAAAATACCCTTCACAGGAGGCTTATGTGAAATGTTTGAGGGGGGAGGGGTCAGCAGAGTTGCCTTCTAATGGCCATATTAAAAAAACAGGTTAAAAAGGAGTGCAGAAGAAGATGCATGGCAGCGTGGGGGGAGTGAGCATTGAGAGGCTGTGAGACCTGCCTGAAAGAAGCACAGTGGATGACGAGGGGGTTGTAGAAGAACCAGAAGGAGAGAGGAGCGTAGAAGTGGCTGAGGAAGGGAAGAGAGGAAGTAAAAGGAGGACAGCCGGTGTCAGAGAGTCAGAGGTCCTCTGTCTCCGGCATAGAGGCTGTCTCTGAGAGGCGGGCAAGGACTCGCAGCATGGCTCTGTTCTCAGCCAGGAGACACTCGTTCACCCTCCGCAAGGTCTGGACCTGAGCCAGAGCAGGGAAAGCCTGCACAGAGGAGGAGAGAGATAGAGAGAGGGGCAGACAGAGGAAGCATGCAGGAAAGCAGGCCATGTGCAATAGAGAAAGATGAAGTGCCCACCCATACAGCCATGGACACTCCTACACAGATGGGAAAAGAACAGTAGTTTTGGGGGGGGGGGCTTCAGAAAAAGTTACGTATACAAATATTCACACAACAGAGGTTTTGAGTAGAAATAGCTAAATCTGCAGCAAGCAAAATAAATTGTATTGCTAATGCTCCTTGGTTTGTGCTCATCAAAACTAGGCTTTATGTGGAGAGTGATAAGGAACTAAAGTATTGGGTTAAATGTGGAGCTTTGCAAAGGACAAGGAATTAAAACTCACATGTATTCACATAACCAAAAATTTAATAGCTCAGACTTTGAACAAGAGCCCAAGCCAAAGGAATGGAAGTGATTTATTTCCCTCTTGTTCTTGGCCTGACTTCTTTAGGTCAGCCTCAGTGTGGCTCAGCTGAAAAGTCTGTGGTTTGACGCCATTTCTGAGGGTTAACCACAGAACACACACACACACAAAGTACTTGTAGCACTCCAGGCTGCCCAGAAACGAATTTGTAGTCATAAATATGGTGGAGAATGACATCACGGAAGACATCCAGCTGCTTCTTACAACACCAAATCATATTTATAAAAGCAATTTGAAGCTAGTCTGTGTTTGAAACTTAACAGTTCATGCATATAATGTTCTCTTTGTATTAGAATGAATCTGCACAGATTGTGGAGAGGTGCCTTTGGCAAGAGGAAAAAAGAACAGAATAGGGTAAAGTGAGAATGCATAATCAGCAGTATCTATTATTACACTCTTTTAATATTAAGATCTTTAGTATTAAATCAAATTTGACCGCATTCCCAAGTCCTGCAAATAATTCTACACAGTTGCTATTAATTAGGTTTCAAAGGCTGTTAAGAATAATTCAGCTTTTTTTGTAAGAAATGTACGACTCTACAAAGAAATCTGACCTGGTGGAAACTAAAATACTGTTTCAAAAGAGTAAACAAGAACACACAGTGCTACTGGTGTGAAACATCTGAAACCAGGCCCAGTCAAAGCCCCAGTGCTGGTAGTTTCAGACCTGAGGAGGTAAACCCCAAACCCAGGCTGCACCCTCTACTGGCAAGAAACATAACAACAGCAAACTGAAGGTGAAGCGACACTGATGTACATCACCTAGAGGCAAAGAGAGTAACCGCCCCTGAAATTTTAAAACTTGTGTCACTGGCAGACTGTGTCACCGCTGCACTTTTTTTTATAGCTACACAAACAACCTGGTAGCAGCGTTTGTAAGAGTCACAGTTGTGTAATTTGTTAAAATGACAGCAGCTGTTACTCCTGTCTGCTGCTGCTATTTTTCCTTTCCAGTAGGTGGCACAGGTTGACGTGTAGAACTAACTGAACAGCTTGTGGAGAACTGACTCGCTAAACATGAATGAGTGACTTAGTGAGTGAGTGACAAACCAGTTCCCTGAGGATTATGTGCCTGTGCCTCTGTGGCATTCACAGTATAAAGTACTGTATGTGTAATTGAGCTTAAAATGTGACGAACACTGATCAGCCCTAAGATTATGACCACTGGCAGGTGAAGAGTGAATAACATTGATTATTTCATTACAACGGCACCTGTCAGTGTGGGGTATATTAGGCAGTAAGTGAACATTCAATCCTTCAAATTGATGCATTGGAAGCAGGAAAAGTGGGCAAGAATAAGAATCTGACTGACTTTGATAAGGGCCAAACTGTGATGGCTGTTTACTGGGTCAGAGGATTTCCCAGGTCTTGTTCTTTGTTTCCACTCTGCGGTGGTTAGTACCAACCAGCAGTGTCTAAGGAAGGACAGACAGTGAATTGGTGACAGGGACATGGACGCCCACGGCTCACTGATGATGAGGTCGACTGTAGACTGAACTTTTACATTTCATCCATCCGTTTCAAAAGATTCCACTTTGTTTGAACCTTTGTTAAAATGGGTGCAAATGAGAAATACTGGACATTGGTCTATATGAAGAGAAACATTCAGTGGCTATAGTGGTGATATCACACCTAGAGATTTGTCTAAAAACTTATCTGTAACTTGTCCTCACGACCACAGTTTTCACTCCTTTTACATATGATTTTCACAGAATGGTCGACACACGTGCTCTTCCTGACAGTAGAACTATGGAAACAAATAGATTCACAGAAGATGCACAGTGAGCTGCGGGGTGATGAGCGCCAACCAACTGCTGCTTTGACTCGTGTCTACACAGTATTAGGCGGGTGGTCATAAGGTTATGGCTGATCAGTGTATGTGTGTCCACACGTGTAAACATGCCCCAGTCTCTGATAAAACAGAACCATGTGAGGTGACAGGCAGGTGTCAATTACTTCTCTGTATCATAGCAACCACTCACCATCCCCCCTCCCCTCAGGGCTGGTACCCACAGCGGAACCGCAGTGGGGCGTCCTGCTGAGGGAACCACGACAACATGGGGGTCAAACATCTGTTGCTGGTGTATCGCAATGCTTTACATGTCCTATCTATAATATAATATCCTGCATATTAAGTATTCTCAGACCTTTTGAGGACTATAGTAACCTTGTTGTAATTTGCCTTAACAAACAAATTATACAACTTTATTGTGCCATTTGTGACTGCTTCCACAAACTATAGATAAGACCCAGCACAAACCACGTCAGGCCTGAAACCTCTCCTCTGCTCTGTCCTGTGTTTCTTTGTGAAGCAGAATACACAGTGCAGTGCAGGAATGTCTCACAAAGGCAGGTCTTTTGCTCTTGGACAGGGTTTGGTATTCAGCTGGAACTAGGTCACAATGTACACCCCAACAGTGGGATAAGTGGAGCAGAGGAGCAGCAGCACAGGCTCCTCCTCAGCTTGGCAGGAAGCAGCCCAGCAGAACACTGAGGGAAATGAGCCCTGAAACCTTAACCTCCTCTGTCCTTGACTCCAAACCCACCTGGCTAACCACAGCCCTGGAGTGTGCTACATGTGTGTGTCATCCCACTGGCAGTTCTGCTGCGTCCTGGCTTTTATTTTGTCGAGCTTCTTCTTCGCCCAGCCTGACAGGCTCCAGTTTTACTGTGGTGGATTGGACACAGCTGGAGCTATTCAGGCTAATCACCAGGCTGTGTTAAAGGCCAGCTTCACAGACAGGCACTGTTGGTCAGTTGTCAGTGCTCCATGCCTGTTCACTGTCTTGTTGTGTTGTCAAGCTTATAGACCATGCTCTTGTTTTGAACTTGCCTTCGTGTCGTCCTACTTTTGTTTACTGGAACTCTAAGAGACAGTTTTGTCAGCTTTGAGCTGTGATTTTATTTTATTTTTGTTTGCTTTATGAGTTCTACGTGTTCAGAGTGGACAGTGTCCAGCTAAGTGCTGAGCTTTTTGTTTCTTGCACTTGTTCAGAGACTGGTGACTGTTTACCAGCCAAGTGCTGAGTTTTTGTGTTTCCCATTTTTACATGCATTCAGAGGCATCCAGTTACCATGTGCCAGCTTCTACCTGTGCTTTTGAGGAACTTAAATGTCATATTAACTTACCTGTGTTTTCTGACTGGTATTGAATCTCCCAGCCCCACACTTGACATGTGTGTGTCTGCTGTGAGAAACACTTTAGGTGTGCTTGAAGGGCTCTGGTGGAGGTGTGTACCTTTTGTTATTTTGTTGGGGGACATCATTTAGACAAATGAAGTATCTTAGACAAAATAGATGCCATTTAAACCCAGGGTGAACAGAGTGCACAATTACTTTTAGCATAGACTGACCTTTATCTCCTCCTCCATGTCTGACACTCTTTTCTCAAGAGCTTGTTTTTCCTGTAAACAAAGAGGAAACAAATATACTCCCATGGCCACGTCGAAACCCAAGAGTGATTAAAAAATAAGGCTATAATTTGAACTAGAGAGGAAAATTATAGGGAGAAAGACCATGAAATTATATGGATATTTGTTCATCTTGACAAATGCCAAAAGGATGTGAAGACACGTACCCTCTTCTCTGATTCTAGTACTGAGGACCTCTCTGACATCCTGTCTTGCCTCTAGAAGTTAGAAAGTTGCTGTTATTGTGATGTACAAGAGGACATTCCAGAAATATCTTATATATTTATGAACATGATTTCATTAAGTTGACTGCTCCTGTACCTGAGTGACTTTCTCCAGCTGGGAACGTATCTTAGCCAGTTCTTGTTTGCTGTCGTGCAACCTGGACTTTAGCCTCTCATTTTCATGCAAAGCTTCTGTATACATCTGGCGGGGGGAAAAAGTAACAAATAGCTCTTTTATGAATTAATGTTCTGCTAATGCTTTGAGAAATACTTGTTTTGATATTCAAAAACTATGAAATAACACCCACAGAAAAATCATGCATTAAATAATCATTAAATATTGAAGTTGTGTAAATTATCTCTAAATATGAAGGAATTGGTAAAATAATTCAAAAACAATTAAAACAATCCCACTGGTTTGCATGTATGTATTTTTATACTGTCAGTGAGCTAAAACTTGAGCCTTGTTTTTTTTGTAATTAGCTCTCCCAGATTAGTTCCTGTTTGCATGTGCCGCATGTGCCGGGTGTGTAGCCTACACAAAACTACAACTGGATTCCTCAGATACTGAAACCAACTGGAAAAACAAAAGAAAAGACAATTCTTTGGCAAGTTCTGGAGTTTAAATTAACACATTTTTCTTTGTTTCTGAGTGAATTTTAGGACATTTATTCATGGTAGACATCAATGATGAAATACCACACCTCCTCCCCATGGTCCTGGCATTTGATTTTATTTTGATGCTGAAGTTTAGCTCCCAGAACGGACCTCCAAAGCGGGGCCAAGTGTAGTGGAAACAAACATTGTCTAGGGTCCCAGCAGCCTCCTATAATATACTGGTTTAACAGTCATATGTACAGTATCAGATTACAAAAGCTGGATTTTTATATGGTCTAAAGGTTTAATTGTATAAAGTTCTAATTAAATGTCCAACTGTTTGCCCTTAAGGGGGCAGGGTGATCATACGCTACCCAGGACTGCAGTAAGAAGTAAACTGAAGTAAGTTATTACCTTTTTATAGTCTTTGGTAGTGGAGTCTTGTTCTTGTCTGTTCAGCGTGGGCATCCTTGTCTCTCTCCGTGTATAAGAGCTGGTGCGACCCAGAGGTTTGTCTGCTGCATTCTCTCCAGTGGAGTCATATCTACAGGCGACGCAGATCATACTCAGTGCACAATGCTACTTTATTTAGAAAGGTTGGGGTTTTTTTTCCGGAAATACAGCTCTGTAATACAGGAGAAGAAAACAATACTAAACACTTACCTTGACAGCCTGTCATGCTGAAAAACAAAGAACAAGTCATGTTAGCTCAGTTATTCAGCACCACAGCATGGGAAAAACACTTTAAAAAAACCCTCTGTTATAGTTAGACCCAGATTTATTTCTTTGATAAGACCAAGGGGCTTGGCAATGAAATATGTTCCATTCTGAAACAACAGAGAACAAAAATAAAACTTCCAAGTGAATTATCACAGCATGCTCAGAGGCCTGGAGTCTCAGAGGGAAGTGCTGCATGTAGAAGTGAGCTATACACTGCGCTGACAGGGTTCGCACAGGTCAAACCTCCCCGGTGAGCCCTGTTAATCTTTTATAATAAGCAGCTGCCATGCAAATGCCTGCAAAATAAAGATGACATCAGAAGTTGAGTATCTCCTGTGTGAATGGGTCGACGGTTGACCTCAGACAGTAGACTGATAGTGGACTGTCCTGGCAAGTTTGTGCTATGACTAGTCTGCCAAGTTACCTGCTGTGGTCATGTGCTGACTTCACCTAGGAATCTAGGTGTTGTGTGACATTCACAGGAGTTGTATTAATTCACAGAGCTCTGTGTTTTCAGTTTATAGTTGCTCACAGATGTGCCCATAACAGGCAGTAGATGTATTTTGTGCCTACTGCCCCCTGTGTCAGTGTACATCATACAAAGCATGCTGCATAACTGGCTTCCAGTGCAAAAATTCCAATCTATTTAGCCCTTCAGCCAGACTTGAAAAAAAATCAATGAGTCAGTCAGCTGATAAATGTGGCACATGAGAGGAGAATGTTTACTATCAGAGACTATCAGAGAGAGAGGGGATGCCACAGTACGAAGCTGATCTCTCTGCAGTATCTGCTGCCTTCGCGTAAACATTACTCTTACGTAAATCCGGAGAATTGTGGCTGCTCTTTTGCCAGGGAAAAGAAGTCTTTAAACGCTGCTGTTTAGAAGCACTTTGCAATAAATTTCTTGTGCAGTGTTTGAGACAACAAGTAGATGTAAACTGTGGTAAAGTGTATGATTTTTATAAGAGGACAGTTTATTCTGCATTTACATTAGGCCAGTTGGAGGGATATTTTTTGCGCAGTGTCAGAGGAGCTGTTCTTCAGCAAGTGTTTACATAAGTGAACTAGTGCTGCCTGTCCTTATGTGGTCATGTGCTTAAGCAGAGCTATCCAGGAAAAAAAAATAGACCCCCACGACCTCAGATGAAAAAGGACCAAGCAGAGCTCTCACTCACTCTGATCTCTTTGTGCAATACTGAGGAGAGTCGTGTATCAAATGTGATGTACGTTCATTAATCAGTTTAGATGATTGGACCCCTGGTCTTATGAATAATTTATTGTGAATCCTGCTTATGGAGGTATGAACTCCCTCAAGATGATTAGTTCCTATTTGCAAACCTATTTCACATGAAAGATTATAGAACTGGTTAAATGAGTTTCTGGAAAATTTATTGCAGTGAAATCTTGAGTGAGCCCGGTGGAGTTTATTAGACCAATTCTCAGTAAAAGAAAGATGATTTTTTTTCAGAAATATATGCATGTATTTTGGTATTATTTATGTTCTGTCCACATTAAACTAAAGCCAGAAACCAAGTTATACTTCTGATGGAAACTGCATCAATCTGATTCCTTGGTTATGGAAAATAGAGGGAGTCAAAAGTTGCACATGTAGCTTCATATGTGAAGCAGAGCAGATGAGAAGATGATCAGCTGGGGGGGGGGCAGCAGGGTGTCTAGAGGGTACTCGGTAAGCACAACTGCCTCCACTTCTATGGCTTACTAGAACCAATATCATACACAGCAGGGGGGGTGGAGTTGTTGGAAGTCACCTGCATGAGCTCACTGCTAATGGTGTATAAATCAAACTGTTAACAGCAGCTTGCAAGAGCCAATGAGATCATCATTACGAGACTCTTCACCCTCCATGGCACTTCTTCCACTTCTTCGTGTCTCTGTCACAGCGATGTATCTCTTCAGAGCTGACTAGATGACTGCAGCAGGGAAATCTGAACAACACCCTCTTCTCTCTCTCCACCCCCAGTACTGTAAGGGCTCCGCACACAAAACCATAAAAGATATTTCTTCCACATTTGTTCACCTTTCCTCACTTCAGCCACTCTTCCTCCTCTACTAAATCTTTATAGTACATCTGAGACTTTCTGGCTGCTGAGAACAGCTTCCTCTTTTTCAAAAGAAATGACTTTAATTACTGTAAATTAAAGTGCTAACAATGTAAAAATACCCAATTACAAGAAAATGACACTTATGTGTTGCATTTAAGTGAAAGTACATAAGCATTATCAGCAAAATGTACTTGAAATATCAAATTAAAATTATTCAGCAGAAAAATTGCTACTGACATATATCACTGTCGATACTGAGGCATCAAAACTTACACAGCACTTTACTGTTGTAACTGGTTGTTTTAGTTACTTTATGTATAATTAGTAGAGAAGCATTTGCCAATCTAGGGGGTCAGACCTCTCAGAAGGGTCACAAGATAAGTGTGGATGGTCAGGATATGATTAACAGATTACAGCACAAGACAACTTAAATCCTTCACCCACAATTATGTTTATATGTTGGACCGTCCTCTGATCTTAACTTTTATTAAAATGTTGGATAATCTTATCTTCTGGGGCCTTACAGTTATTTAAATCACACAATCTGACATGTTTAGAAGGGAAATACTGTATGTCTTGGCTAGCAATTCACACACATTTGTAGTATTTGCATTTTGGAAAAAAAATTCATAAGTGAAAAAAGTTGAATGTTTAATTTTTTATGATGTATATTATGAGCATATCAAATGTTTTTAATATAAAATCTTAATAAAAACTAATTAGCAGCTATAGCTGTCAAATAAACAGTGGAGTTGAAGTGTAAAATATCATATAGCTTGAAATACTTAAGTAAAGCAGAAGTACCTCACATCTGTTCCTAAGTACAGTAAAATGTGTTTGGTTCACCGCTGCTCACATTTGTCTAATAACGGGTGCCATCCGTATGCTACAAATGTGTTTCTGTTTATTTCTCTTCATGCTGCTCACAGATGTAACACACTTTTCTTTTTTACTAAAGAGGACCAGGTTTTCACTAAAACATTGTGGTAAGTACTAAAAACACTGCATCAGGCTGCTTCCACCCCCTCTGCAATGGATTTTCTCTCCCATGAAAACTTTGCCAATTCAAACTGGGGTGACATCATGGAAAGTTAATGCCTGAGTTTCACCAGAGATACAGCACAGAGACAGAGACACTGCTTCAAAGGAGAGCAGAAGAATGATATCATCCACCGGCGGTGTTCAGTTTTAGCAGCTGCACTATAATGACAGCATCTGCATTGCTGCTGGACATTCCTGGACATGTCTCTAAATAGACATTGTTTGTCCCTTTAAATGTGCCTGTCACACAGTGTTCAGCCAAGTCTGATGCACTGACATAAACACAACAATCAAACAACACCCATGAGAATACGGCACTGGAAATTACAGAGGTGATGTTTCAATCCAAAAGTCTTTTCCAGAAAGTATTGTCAGACTATTAAAATTAAATTAGAATAATGATTGGTATGTTATTTGTTTGTTGTTATGAAAATAATGAACAATAAACAATAGAAATAACTTTTACCCTCTTAATGAAGTGTTGACACATTTGCTGGTTTAACTGAGAAGAGTCATAACAGCACATGTGCAAACACGCAAACATGTTAGTTGTTGTTCTATCAATTATATTCTTGATTAATTGGTTAAAAAATTGTATAAATAAATAAATAAAATAAAGATTAAATTTAAAAAAATTATAATAAAATTGTGAAACACCCTGTATAGCCTCCAAGTTTAAGGTGATAAATTAAAATTTTTGTCCTACCAAATATGAGAAAAAAAAAAAACAGCCATCCTTCACATAATATTTGATATTTTGCTTAAAATATGACTGACATAATTACAAAATTATTGCATCTAATAATTATTGAAAATAAATGAATTTACTGGTGATTGTGGTGTTTAGTGTTTAGGTGTGTTAGATTTGGTTGAAATCCAGAAAAAGAATCAGGTCCAAGGATTTATCACTAACGCCTGAAGAAATAAGATGCTTTCTTTAGGTTCCTACAAGTTTGGATTATGAACATACTAAAAAGTCACTTGATAGTGAGTAATGAAAGTAAGAACTCTAATAATTAATCATTTTAATTGCTTCATGAGAATAAATCATATATAGAGAGATATTAGACCCACTAATCCTGGTGGCATAAAGTGTATAATCAAAACAGTTTATCTCTAGAAGAAAAGCTTCTGTTCTTACTCTGTAGTTTTTGTCTGTAGGAGACGGAGAGGACGGCGGTGAATCTGACAGTGACTTCCTGGTGCGAGTCAGGTCCTTGGTGCGTGAGTAGTAGGATGACATCTCCCTCCTCTAACCTGAACAGGCAGGTCAGCTTCTACTGTAACATTCGCCGAGGCTGCCACCAGATAGCAGCTGCATAGATGCACAGATTCCCTCAGTCAATAGTGACGCAGATGCCCATGGCTGCACTCCCGGGAAATCCTCAGCAACAACAGGTGTGTGCGTATATGTGTGTGTGTGTATGACAGGCTGGCTTCACACACAGTCCCACAATCTAGAGAGAGCTGCGGGTAAGTTTGGAAGGATTTCGGGTTTGAGGTCGCGCCTTCTTCAAAGCTCACACAGTGAAGAAATAATCAAATAAAAATGCAAAGAACGACAAAACAAATTCTCTGTTGATCACAAAACGAGAAACAATGCTTTAGCTAGGAAAGCAAATAAATGATCATCCTGTGCCTTCACTCTGTCAACACTGGAGTTAGTGATGAAATGTGAAGTCCAACACAAAGCAGCCAAGAGAGAAAAGTTTGTTCTTTGTGCTGCCTCTTAACGTGTTTCCCAAACTTATACTCTCTCTCTCCATCTCCCTCCAGCTCTTTCTTTCTCTCTCTCTCTCTCTTTCCCATTTCACTGCCCGGTCACCCTCCCTGTCCACCCCACCCCCTTTTGCTTCTCCTTGCTCTCTTCAGCTTTGGCAGCTTTCTGTGGCAGTCTGCCAGGGGCTCTGCTATGGCCCTACTCTTCAGTGAGGGCTAAAATTGTCCACTGATGTGGACGAGGATAAAGGGAGGTGGAACAAATAGAGTCAGGGGGCTGCAGCAGTTTGTCTCCTGGAAGTTTGAAGGAGAGTACTACCTGAGGAACCATCAGCAAATGTAAACCCTACACTGTGATGGAAAGAAGATGCTGTTAGTTTGTGTAGGTGTTATATTGTGTTAACAGAGTACCTGTGCTACATTTCCTCTTACCAAAATATGTGTAACATATTTCAAATTCCATCTGTACAAGACAAAAAAGTATTGGTTATTCTATCTTACACCTGTGCTGACCTTCTTGTGGCTCATCTTACAAGGTTGGTAAAAATATTACTATGTTTCAATGAAATGAAACATTGAAACAATGAAAATTGTTCAATTTTTCATCAGTCACCTTCTTATTAAAGGAATAGTTCAACATTTTTAAAAATACTCTTCCTCACTTTCTTGCTGAGACTTAGATGAGAAGCTCAACACCACTCCAATAATGTTAAATATGAAGCTGCAGCCAGTTAGCTTAGCATAAAAATGAAACCAGGGAGAAAGAGTTAGCTTGGTTCTAATTAAAGAAACACAATACACCTGCCAGCACCTCTAAAGCCCTCTGTATATAAAACAAGTTGTGGTTTTACAAGAGGATGCCACTTAGCAAATTAAACTAGCATAGCATGTTGATGTTATGAGTTTTACTGTAGAATTGCTGGTAGGTGGATTTTCTTTGTCCATGCACTCTAGAATGGCATACAGTATAGAAGCCTTTTCTGGTTTGATGCCACTATCCATGGGTCAATATGTTATTTGTCTCTGCCTTAATCACTTAATTACATTTTATAACCTGAAAAGCTATAGTTTAGTTTTCTTTGGGTTTAGGCAAAGTTCTGAACATTACTGCTATGTTAAGGCTATAGGGGACCTCCATCCTAATATAGTCAAGGGAACAACACAGTCATGATTTGAAGAAACCAGTGTTGACTACTGTTAGGAAACAGGAAGCAAATAGAAATCTCCCGTGGTGTTTTGTTCACCCATCCATCCACCACAACCTCATCCCCCCGAGGGTGTTGGATAACATCGTTGGGCTTCTTCCATCTGCAATGAACATGGGTTGTAATTACTACAGCCAATAGAGAGCTTTGTACCTTGAATGTGAAAATGTCTTGAAACAACTGATTCTGTTCTTTTCTTCTTTTTTTTTTTTGAGAGGAAGATTGTCTCATTTTGTTAGCTTTAGTAAAGCCAGGCTAGCTGTTTCCCCCTGTTTCCAGTTTTTATGCTAAGCTTAGCTAACTAGCTGCTGGCTCCATGGTTGCCATACAGAAGTGAAAATGCTGTAACAGTCTTTTCATTTAAGTTCTGGCAAGAAAGCAAATACTGCAAGCATGAATGTCAAACTATTCCTTTAAACAAACTTGCCCCCCTCCTCCCAGTAGTCTGCACCAGCTGGCTCATCGCTATCTTCCTTTTATAGTGAGGTTTGCAGCACCCCACTATTCCTCAGCTCCATCAACCCTGCTCAGGGCAAACAGATTAAGGAATGATGGGACAGAAAGAAATTAAACAGAAGCTCAGAGGGGGAAAATAGAAATGTGAAGAAAATATTAAATAAAAAGGAAAAAAAATGAAACGATGAGATAATTATTTGACAGAGGCTGTGATGATGTGATGTGGTTTTGAGTTTAGTGCTAGTTAGCAACCATCTACAAGCAATATTCATAGGCATGTTAATTTAGCCCCTAATATTCCTATCTCTTGAACAGCTGCAGATCAGACGAGGGGAGGAATTCCAGCCGGGATTCAACTGGTCCGATACCAGTACCATTCTAATTCACAGGCACCAAGTAATTTTTTTCTACAGATAACCTCTGATGAAGAACATTTACTTGATGTATAAAAATGGTTACTATTGCTTACTGTGCTTTTGGAACTTATATACATGGGTCATATCTCAAACCAGAGATCATGCATCAAAAGACAGAAAATAAACCACAGAAGTGGTCACTAGGGTGTTGCAGCAAATTAATAAGAGCAGGTTGACGAACAACAGGGTCTATTAATTTAATCCCATCCAATGTGGCAGAAAAACTAGCTGTAAAGCAAACTTGTTAGTGTTGTTTCTTTCTATTCCTTCTATCATCATCATTACCAATAATCTTTAAAGTATCTCTGTGTTCTCTGTGTTGCTGAAAAGAAATGTGGAAAATCTGTTCAGATCATCATGGGGTCACACAGAGGTCGGCTCTAGTGATGGACTCCCAGTCATGCTTCTGATGAAACATCACAGCTCAGTATGATTATCCAGACATATATAGTCCTGTCAGTAATGCTAAGCGACTCTCATATTACTAACAGATCTCTGTTTCAGATTCCAGCATGGGGGACAGCTGGACCACTCACTTGGAGTCAGCTCACTGGAACTATTCGTTCTATTCGTGTTACACATATACTTAATCATCTATAATCTTGTAAAAGTCATCCTTGACTACTTTATCATCTCGCTACCCTCCACTCCTTGTTGTTCCCTGTCATATGTATTTTTATCTGCCTTTTAGAAACACCATGAAACTCAAGTGAATTTCCAGATTGCACCGAGGAGGAGAAACTAGTAATGAGCTTCAGGTTCTGGGTTGTTCATGTACAGGACGCAGGTGGAGGGAGCACACTATTGGTTTAGAGGGTGAAATATTAAAAAAAAGTCAGTGACCCTGAATCCAAGGGTAAGCAGAGAGCATCTCAGTTTTGCCCAATATGGTATGGAATGCTAAGACACCTCAGTCATGTGATGGGAAGAAGCAAAGCGACTTCCGGGGTGGGGGTGGGGGGTGGGCCTTTTGAACTGTCTTTCTATGAGATATTAACCAGAATGTCTAGTTAGAAGAAACTCTGAACACATGCTTCACATCTACAATTGCAGAACATCTGAAAATGCTGCATCAGAGGTCAGAGCTGCCTATGAAGCACATGTAGCTTTCAGCTGAGGGAGAAACAAGACGTAAACATGAAACGGTGCTGCTAATGAATATTGATTCACACAGACTAATAACATTATTGTGTAGCAAGATTCTCAACTAAGTGTTTAATAGCTAGAAGCCTTTTTTATAAAGAAATAACTTTTAATTTGTTGATGATAATCAGAGTATGTCACACTTAGAAATGTATTGAGTGAACTGTAAATACCGAGTTCTCCTGGGTCAGTCAATATGAGTGTGAAAAATAACTTAGAAAATCCTTTGGCTCCATCTAGTGGTACTAAGGAAGAATAATGGTTTAAATGATCCTCTTTCTTTGGCTATCAGTGACTTCTACTAAGCTAAAATAACACCAAAGTTTTCGTCATACCTGTGCAGTTTTGTCGTCTGAACCTCCGACATTACAGCAGTGTCGTCTCTGTTGCTGCTTTGTGGTGAAGGTCACTTGTGCTGCGTCCTCAACGCGGTTCTGATTTTCATCTCTCCACCACCTCTCACTAACTGCACATATAAAGTAAGTATTTATATTGTGCTTATCACTACTGAAAATTGAACAATGACAGCCATTTAGTGTGATTCTTGATTATTATTAACAAAGTTAACCCTAATGTGCTGTTTGTGGTCCTGGAGACCTTGAGCCCCTGTTAACAGTGTTATGAGTGGGGCAAAAAAGTATTTAGTCAGCCACCAATTGTATTTGGTCACCAATATACTTATTTTCCACTATAATTTGCAAATAAATTCTTTAAAAATCAGACAATGTGATTTTCTGGATTTGTTTTTCTCATTCTGTCTCTCATAGTTGAAGTATACCTATGATGTAAATTACAGGCCTCTCTCATCTTTTTAAGTGGGAGAACTTGCACAATTGGTGGCTGACTAAATACTTTTTTGCCCCACTGTATAAACACGATTTTCAGGACATATTCGAGAGGATTGCTTGTTTTGGGGACTCAAAAATTGTAAAACATGTTTAAATACTAAGGATTTTCATATGGCCTGTATCTGTGCTCTGTTAGAACCTCTCTCATTGGTGTTTTATAACAATTTTGTCAATTCTGTGCAGAGGTTTGGGGCAACAACTACAAAAGTTCACAGCATTTACTGATCAATCTCCAGAAAAGAGCAATAAGAATTATTCACACAAAAATATTGTTCTTAAAGTCTAAATTATTAAAATGTATAGATCTTTGGAATTTCAGACAGCACAAATAATGTTTAGGCCAGCACAAGAAATATATTCTGTACAGGCATAGCTCACTGAAATTGTAAAACAGATAATGTAATAATGTCATATGGTTATGTATATTATCAAATTCATGGGTCCAGTTTTTGGCAAATTGCAGCATTGTCATTTAAATACATCTCTACATATTCACTTAAGAATGAAAAGTTTAAAAAACTGATGAAAAAATAGGAACATCAAATATTATCATCAATCAGAATTTAAAGCATGTCTCAGCAAAACATAAGGGGTAAAAACAAATCTGTTTTTCTTACCTCTGAAGGAGCTGTTGCAGTAAGACAGCCCACAGGATTCAGCAACAGATGAATATGGAAGTTTTGGTCCTGGAGACTCAGTGAGGGTTTCTAACTTAGGTTCAATGTTCCCCTGCTGTACATGCATAAGACAAGAACCTCTTCCAGAATTATAAACCAGTTATTTCTGCTGGAGCAAGGCTGAATTTGTTTCTACATAAATCGCTTGCTCACCTCATCCAGTTTGCTCCACTTTGGACTGATCTCTGTTGTTTCTGTGCACATTGTCAGGCTGAACTGGACCCTCCTGTCATCTGTCAAGCCCTTCCTCACACAGGACCTGTCTGCTTCATCCATTTGTCTGTCTTGAGGAGACATGCTGTTGGTCTTCTGAGCCTCTTTCAGGTCTGTCAGCGTCACACCCTGCAGGACATTTATGGAGCTTCATACAGTATCTGTTAAAATTTATACATAACACCATGAAACTTTAACACTGCAAGCCATCTGTTCTGTACCTGTGTTGACCTGCGGGTCTGTCTGGCATGACGAGACTTGGCTTTTCTCTGAGACTCTGCTTCTTCATCCCTGACTGGGACTAGGTACAACCTAGGTCGGTTAAAAAAAAAGTTCTGAAGTAAAAATGCTACAAAGACATTATACACTATCTGATCAGAGCAAATATGGCATACATTGACAGTGACGGTGGTGCAGTGGGTAAAGCAGTCGTCTCCCGAACAGAAGGTTGGAGGTTTGAATCTTGGTGCCTGCAGTCCACATGTCGAAGTGTCCTTGGGCAAGACACTGAACCCCCAAGTTGCCTGCGATGGCTAGAACCATCGATTGAGTTGGTGCCGCAGATGGCTGCCTCGGTTCTGTACCGAAAACAAATTCCTTGTGTGTGTAACATACTTGGCCAATAAAGGTAATTACTTTACTGATGATTGCATACAACTCATTTCAATAGTCATCTATAATCACAAGCCACAAACTGCTTCACATGCAGGGCAACAAACTAAAATCAACCATTATGAAATTAAATAGAAACATTAGCCATTAAGAAACAAATTCCTTGTGTGTAACATACTTGGTCAAATAAATTATGATGTTGATTATTATTAGCTGGCCTTAAACAAAATAGGTCAACAGTCAAACACAATCTTATATACACAGTGTTGTGTATAGTGCATTAGACCTGAAAGGTCCAAA